TATTTCTGTTTTCTATTTGCAGAAATTTATAAAAACCTGTTTTCGCTTTGTCATTATGGGGTATTATGTGTAGATTGCTGAGGATTTTTCGTTATTTAATCCATTTTAGAATAAGGCTGTAACATAACAAAATGTGGAAAAATACTTTCCGAAAGCACTGTACAGAGTTGTTGTCAGCAGCAGCTGAAAGGGAGATCTTCTGCCTCTGATGGGTTACTGCCAGACTGAGCAAAACATAGATAGTGTGTCAAAAGCCATGTAATGATTAACTAGCCTATTGAATCACGAAGACACATATAAATAATTTAGATAAATACTTCCTCTCAGACAGCCCACTGCCCATCAAGTGCATTCAACAGAGGTCAACAACAGTCTTGTAATGGCTTCATGAAACATAGTCCCCTCATCTGACTCTATACTGAAATATTGCTAGTAGCCATTGTCAGGCTGGGTCTGTACCTCTATTTGGCATATTCCATGATTAAAAAAATAACGTGTATTTGTAAGAGCTAGCTTGTAAAGTGGCTAATTAAAGAAGCCTAGCTTTTCCTGTCTAGCTAGTTAGCTAGCAAAGTTAGCTAGCTAGCTTACAAACGGTGCTCAAATTCTTTATCTATCTAGTCTAGCTATAGTTTATCAAATGACTTTGGCTTCATGCTGTATATTCAACCACCGTCCTCTTGCATCGTCATGTTGGAATGGCAGTTGGTTTTTTAATCAGAATGGCAGTTAAAATTTGAATTGACCAATAGGTTCTATAGAATCCCCTTTTTTATGTAAGAGTGTATGCTTTTGTTTCCTCTTGCTTCTAGCTAGCATTAAGTTTGCAACAGCACAGGTTTCTATGAACCTTGCTGTTTGCCACTCCGACCTCAGCAGCAATGTTGCAAAATGCGAATTCGATCTCCCCCCTGCCATAGAGTTAACGGTGTCGGACGTCCGCTGGACATTTTTCTGACCACGCGAAATCATGCAGCAGCATCATTAATATGGATATAAATGTCAATGCAAAACAGCTCAAACAAATGAAAAGGGAGCTAGTTAGCTGCCATTTCAGAGTTTGATGTGACTGTGTTAGCTTTTGTTAGCTGTTGTTTGTTAAAATCCATATTACACTCTGTGGTAAGGATAGGACCCTCAAGGTTATTTGCCTTCACTTGGTATTTAATGTATCTAGAACCTTTTTTAGTAAAGGGTTCTTTAATCTCGTCCAAAGCAGCAAAAGGTTCTATATAGAACCCCAAATAACCATTTTGTCTAAGCCTGTAAGACTCCTAAAATGTACTAGGCTGGATAACATGTGTCTAATATTGAAACAATGGTGTGGCTATATTTAGGTCATTTTTTCTGTTCATGGCAACACTGTGGTGTGAGTGCTTGCATCATGAAGGGTGCTTCGAGATAGCCTGGCTTGACCTGCAGTTGTTCCACTTTCAGCAAAAAACTCACTTACTGCAAATCAATCTAATTATTTTGTTGTCTGATTACTCAAATTATTTAATTGACAATTGTAATCTGAATATTTAGCTGTCAACGAATCATCCACTTGTTCAAGCAATGACCTGTGCAAACCGCAGTCATGTTGTCAGTGGAGATATTCAAACATGATTGTGAGCACATTGGGCGGCAGGTAGCCTAGTGGTTAAGAGCGTTGGGCCAGTAACCAAAAGGTTGCTGGTTCAAATCCCAGACCTGACTAGGTGAAAAATCTGCCAATGTGCCCTTGAGCAGGTTAACCTTAATTGCTCCAGGGTTGCTGTCAATAATGGCTGATCCCTAGCCATGACCCCACTCGTTGAAGGTGTCTCAGGGAGAGTGGGATATACAAATGTAAGCGCCTAATAATATTTATTATTATATCAGTGTTGCAGACATCCAGTATACCCAACAGAACGTGTAATCTAAAATAGGGTCGTTCCATTTTTGGGTAGTGTAACTTGGTCAGAAACAACTATTAATTTCACCTAATTTTAACATTCTGTCATAAGAGCACATGCTCAACTTCATTAAAAACATGTTATCCCATCTCAAGTTGTATAAATTATTTTACTATAGAAGGTGCCATTATAGTAACAGGGTTGACCATAACAGTTTGAGGTTTTCATCTTAAATCAGCCATAAATCCCCTCCTGAAAGGGGGAATGGAAGCTTGTTGTGTGCAACTGGGAGGGGCAATTGAATGCAAGCTTCACAAAAACATTGCAATAGTAAAACAAATGTAAACAACAAAAAAATAGGAGATCCAGCTCACCTGCTTTTACACTATGATTTAACTATGTTCAATGTTTCTATTTAATAATTTTTTTTTATAGTTTCACCATATTAGAATGACAGTTCAGTTCACGTAACAGGGTTGACCTTAAAATGAGGGACAGATGTAAATGAATCACTAATCACATGAAATAAATAATAATCTTTACAAATGACTTTGTCAAAGCAAGAAACTAGGGCTTTACGATGATGGTGAACTTGAAGAGATTTTGGGATTAACTGGGTTAAAATCTGCCTAGAAGTATGAAAAACATGACAAGGGACATATCGAAATGATGTGCTTTGGCACGTTAGAAATACTTTATTAATATAAAAAATCAGATTGATTACATTTTCCATGTGGTCAATATTAAAGGGCACTTCATTTAATATAATAGGCTTTTAAATTCAACATTGGTGCACAATTTCTACTTAAAATATCAAAGGGATGCAAAATGTACTATAGTCATGGAACAACTCAGACTGATTACAAGCCCCTCTCTGCCCCAGACCTCCAATAAAGCCCTTATCAGTAGCCTGGTTACGTATCATAGGGCTGTATTTTCTGGTGGTCGTTGTTTTGCTGTGGTGTGTTGCATTGATGGAATTATATAATCTGACTGAGACATTCATAATCCATTTTAGTAAAATGAGAAAGATGCAAACCATTACAAGCACACAATTAAAAATGCTTTAAACATGTCTTGACTTTTCTCTTGGTTATATACTTAATATGTATGTCCTTTATAGTCAAAGGAGAGTTACACAAAATAGCCCATAACATTCTTTTGTGACTTTGCTTGTGATGCGTTTAATCCAGAGGGCAAAGGGTGTTTGCAAAACCATTAGTTATTAATTGACGTGATTGAGTGAGTGATTAAAACTTGAAAGTTGTTCGTCATTTCTGCCTAGTTGCGAAATATACTGACCAAAGGTCTTTCCTCAAAGGATGACAGAAGAGAAAGGGAACATCTAGGAGAGAAACACGGTTGCAAAGGTTGCCTGACATGTTAATAGTTGTTCCACGAAATGGTATTAGTTCAAACTACAAATACAAGTCTGAATCAAGTTCATTATTGACACATTAGTTACGATTATAAAAGAACAAGCATCAAGAGATCTTGTGTTTGATCCTCAGTCAAAACATTTTCCTTTTGGTGGTTCAAAACAAAGGGGGAAAATGTCTAGACCATTTAAACCAAACTGGAAGACTCATTATAGCATTTTCTGCCTTCTATTCTTGAATGTGCATTTGAAGATGATTTCAGTTTCTATCCTGGTTCTGTGACCTGATTTGAGTATGCAAAAAAATGAACAACCCACAGTACTTGGCTTGAGAACGGTTTGGCCAGCGTCTAGTTGAGACTTTACTTTTTGCAGTTGTTCCCTTATCAGCCTACATGTAACCTCCTATGATAGGCCTCTCTCATGGACCCTCAATGTAAGATAAGAAGACTAAGTCCACATTCCAACCATGATTTGTAGCAGCATTTCTGAATGTTCTCTTTGATAACCGAGGACTGCATCTGTGGGCGGTTGAGTGAGTGCATTAATTCATAATGTGCATGGTGTTCTCCATATGGCGTCTGATTCTGCTGGCCATATCACAGTTGATAGACTGAAGTTTAACCAGTGGCACTGGGGGCTCATCTTACTTTGACCTCTGTCTACCCTACTGTCAGTATCTCTCTCTCTCTCTCTCTTCAGGTTTTCCTCTCTTTCATTCTCTAACTTGGAAACATTAACAGGAAAACAGCAATTTGCAACAGTCTCATACCAGGCTCAGACATTGCATTGCTTTGTAGATTCTGAAAAAGAGAATATCTTTTGGACAAGAACTGGTCTATAGATCAGAAGCTTTTTGTCCCATCCACTAATACAGCTCAGGCCTCCTACACATTGAATGAAGATACAATGAAAAATAGAAAGAACATAGTGGTATCACAGATAGCAAATATCTTAAGATTAATCCCAGATACCTACAGCCCAGTAGACTTCATACTGCTCATATTTGCCCCTATCAAAATTAAACTACAGATGCACAGAAGTCATGATAGGTTATGGTATCTACTCATAACGCAGGTGTCAATCATGATGACATAACCTAGGTAATTTCTTAGGCCTATTTGTCCTACAGGTAGGCCTATGACAGAGTGTGTAATAATTTCGGTAGACCTACTAGTTTATGTAATAACACTTTTGGTGGATAACCTGCATCGCACCAGCTGGCTCAAGATCATTTCAGGAGCCAATATTGTCATTTTGAGATATCCTTCCGCTGTACTATTTTTTCAATGACTTTGCATTTATTCAGCTGACTCGGCATGTCCCTTTCGAGCACACACCAAAAGCGAGCAACTATTTTCCTCAACATTGATTCTCCATAGGCTGTACGTGCCTTACATCCACCACCAGTCACCACGACTGAAGTATATACGGTCACCACGGCGACTGTTGTGTCTTGGCGGATACAGGAACTTCAGAACTTGCATCAGCCGGTAGAGGCGGTTTGGTTGCATTTGTCGAGGGCTGTGAAGGAGGCAGGGATAGGATAGTTGTATGAAATGATCTTCTTTGTTTTTTCGTTTTATTGAAAGCGAGTAATTTTAACATAACACGAGACACCTCGCGGACCTTTTTTTCCCCCCAGATCGTCCTGTTTTATAACCTTTGCTGAACGGAGGTAACGAAGATCTAGCTACATCAATAGCCTACTGCTGGATTACTTGACGAAAGAAATATACATTTGCGTGTATCTATATATATATATATATATATATCTATGCAATCGGTAGGCTATTCGTTTGCATTGAAGTTATCAACCTAAGCATCATCGTCAATAGGCTTCGGTTTGGAGAGCGATGCGCAGAACCTAGGATCAATCAATGTGCATGCCTCCGATAAGTTGTTACACGTGTTGCAAAGTGCAAAGTTCTCTCAGTAGCCTATACTGGGCTACCTCAACATTGCGGTTCTTCTTCATAGGCCAATCAGATATGAGTTGTGATTGGCGCTAAAGGGCACACCACTCTCTTATTCTCTCTATATATTTTTTTTTTTTAGACTTTTATATTTCATTAACCCATTTTAGTATTTTACAAGATGTCGTGTCTTTTGCTTGGACTTATCAGAAGGTGAGTATCTAACGTTTTGCAATTTGAAACTCAACTCATACTTAACAAAACTATAAACGCAACAATTTCAACGATTTTACTGAGTACCAGTTTATATATGAGGAAATCAGTCAATACATTCATTAGGCCCTAATCTATGGATTTCTAATAATTGGGAATACATATATGCATCTGTTGGTCACAGATACCTTTTAAAAAATGGGCCTCAGGATCTCTTCACGGTATTTCTGGTGGACATTCCTGCAGTCAGCATGCCAATTGCACACTCCCTAAAAACTTGAGACATCTGTGGCATTGTGTTGTGTGACAAAACTGCACATTTTAGAGTGGCCTTTTATGGTCCCCAGCACAAGGTGCACATGTGTAATGATCATGCTGTTTAATCAACTTCTTTATGCCACACCTGTCAGGTGGATGGATTATCTTGGCAAAGGAAAAATGCTCACTAAAAGGGATGTAAACAAATTTGTGCACAAAATTTGAGAGAAATATGCTTTTTGTGTGTATGGGAAATTTCTGGGATATTTTATTTCAGCTCATGAAACATGGGACCAACGCTTTACATGTTGCGTTTTATATTTTTGTTCAGTGGATTTCCTTATTGACCAACCATCATGGCACAGTATAGTGTAGCCTACTCTCAGCAACATTATGTTCTGTCAATTTTAGCAACTGCACTAGGCAACTCATGCAATGGTAGCCTAATGATTGTATTAAATGAGTTGTCATGAATTAGTAATATCACTATCGTGGATAGGATACTTTTACCAGTTGTTATTGCTATCTCACCCAAGAGACTGTGTGTCTGTTGGCAGCAAACCTTATGATAGGGTATATGTTTATGACTGTAAACTCGGGGAATAAACACACCCTGGAATATCAAGAGATGCATTGTAACCAAATATCATTGATACATAAACGACAGATTAAATGTCCACAAACTAAGGATTAAATGTCCCCATTGTAGAATGGAATGTCCTATTGAAGAATTTGCAAAGCACTGAAATTAGCCGTTCATCATCTACAACTTGATTGTCAGTTGTGAAATTGTCACAGACATACAGCACAAACAGACAGCTCTGGTTGCACAAATCTGAACAACCATATTTCAAAAGCTGTTTGCCTCTGAGATAGAAAATGACGGAAATAATTTCAAGATCCTATTACAACAAGTGATAGATAGCACTGCCCGAAGAGACGTGCTCAGATGTCCCTGATTTGAATCTCTTGCGTTCCCCTTCACAACTCTTTCTCTAGGCTTTGGTGACGTAGCACAGAGACTTAAAAAGTCAATGTGAGTAGTCTTGAGTGCATCTTGTCTTTCTTTTCAGAGTGAACTGCATGACACTGTCTTGACAGTCTTAGACACTGGAGAGGATATATGTCCGCGTGTCTATGCGTGTGTGTATTGATACAGAATCACAGTGCATTATGTTTAAAGGTTGTCCTGCGAGTGCACTGTCAGGATTCGTGTAGCTGCGTAATTGACATAGGAGTTTTAATGACTTACTTCTGCATGTATATGCATGATGAATTAATGTATATGTAGTGTGCATGCGCTACATGCATTTCTGCTCAGTTCCTGAAAATTCCCTATGGACCAAGCTAATTAACATTCAATTTTGGGGGAGTGTGGATGTGACTGTGTGTGGCGCGTGGTGATTGGTCGACATTTTTTTTTCCTGATGTAAATGAGACTATGCAAAATAGGCCACAGGGGTTGAGAAATGATACATTGTCATGGTTATAATAATAATAATAATAATAATAATATGCCATTTAGCAGACGCTTTTATCCAAAGCGACTTACAGTCATGCGTGCATATATTTTTTGTGTATGGGTGGTCCCGGGGATCGAACCCACTACCCTGGCGTTACAAGCGCGATGCTCTACCAATTGAGCTACAGTGTTATCGTTGTTTCTCATGTTTTTATCTCTCCCTGACTAAGTCAGGATAATAGGAGAATAGCCTATTCCTTGTTTTAAATTCAGTTTTACAGAAATGTCTTTGGGCACCTCACAATGTGAAAGCAGGGTGACCTCGTAATTAAATATAGCTTATGTTTGGTGAGCTACATTGCAAAATTACAGGCAGATTTGTACTTAAGTTTAACTGGGCTGCTATGGTACTTGTAGTGGGAGCTGGGATTTTGCCATACCCTTAAATGGAAACATGTAGAGCTTATACAATGCATATGAGCACATGTTATATGTTGAGCACATTCTCTCTCTCTCTCTCTCTCTCTTAGATATATATATATATATAATATTGTGCAGCACTTGTATAGTTTAGATGTATGCATGACAGGACAAAAGTTCCTGCAGTATGATCAATAGATTATCAGTGAAGTCTGCTTGAAGGGACCTGAGCATGGCATTCTACACAGAGGAAAAGGTGGAAAGCCCAACCTTTCTCCTCTCCTGGTTCATTTTCTGTCTGCTTGCTCTCTCCCAGTCTGAAGTTTCTCCACACACGTCTGGTCGACTGCATGCAGAAATGTCACTTAAAATAGATTTCATAAACTGGAGAAGATTTTAAGATGACTTCTCATCACATAAATGGTTAAACAGTGTTTAAATAATACTTGTTCCCTGTGATGTTGGGCAAGAATTGTTCTTGGAAAAATGCCATCTTCCCATCAACAACATTTTTATCTTCTGTTTGCACCTAGGGCACTGGGTGACCTTTAACCCTTCCTTTAGAAATGGTTGTTATTGTGTAAACGTGAAGTTTAATGACACCAACGATGCAGCCAATTGGAACGGACTGTGTGCCAGCACTTTTACCAGGACCCAACTTTCACCTAGTAGAAAAATGTGATTTGAATTTCAAGCCAAATATTCAATTGACCTAGCCACGAGTTGGAATGTGAGTTCAATTATAATGCAGCACCTAGAGGCAAAGAGATAGCCCAAACCAGTTCCAGAGGTTCCTAGACATGTCAATACAATTAGTTTAAAAAGTTCAATTGAAGAGTGCATCTGAGAACTCATACAATCATCCACAGCCTTTTTTTAGTTTTTTGTAAAACCATGGACCATCGTGCCTGATTTTTCTAGTCAGTTCGCTCACACATGTTGTAACTGATTGTGTTCTGCCCTTGTTTATGAACACTGTGGTGTTAACAAACAAAAGAAAGCCCCCCCTATGTGCCCCTGCCATTATAAAGAGCTCTGAGCTGAAGTCTCAGGTTACAGTGCCCTGGCCACAGTTTGCATTAGATCGGCCACTTCCTGCCACTTACTGACTTACGTACTGACTTCGCCTGAGGGAGAGCAGCATAACCAAACCGCTTGGGAAGATGTCTGCTCTGTCAATGGCCTTTCCTCATGAAAGTCATTTGAGTTTTTGAAGGTATGGGATACAGTGGGGGAAAAAAGTATTTAGTCAGCCACCAATTGTGCAAGTTCTCCCACTTAAAAAGATGAGAGAGGCCTGTAATTTTCATCATAGGTACAAGTCAACTATGACAGACAAATTGAGAAAAAAAAATCCAGAAAATCACATTGTAGGATTTTTTATGAATTTATTTGCAAATTATGGTGGAAAATAAGTATTTGGTCACCTAGAAACAAGCAAGATTTCTGGCTCTCACAGACCTGTAACTTCTTCTTTAAGAGGCTCCTATGTCCTCCACTCGTTACCTGTATTAATGGCACCTGTTTGAACTTGTTATCAGTATAAAAGACACCTGTCCACAACCTCAAACAGTCACACTCCAAACTCCACTATGGCCAAGACCAAAGAGCTGTCAAAGGACACCAGAAACCAAATTGTAGACCTGCACCAGGCTGGGAAGACTGAATCTGCAATAGGTAAGCAGCTTGGTTTGAAGAAATCAACTGTGGGAGCAATTATTAGGAAATGGAAGACATACAAGACCACTGATAATCTCCCTCGATCTGGGGCTCCACGCAAGATCTCACCCCGTGGGGTCAAAATGATCACAAGAACGGTGAGCAAAAATCCCAGAACCACACGGGGGACCTAGTGAATGACCTGCAGAGAGCTGGGACCAAAGTAACAAAGCCTACCATCAGTAACACACTACGCCGCCAGGGACTCAAATCCTGCAGTGCAAGACGTGTCCCCCTGCTTAAGCCAGTACATGTCCAGGCCCGTCTGAAGTTTGCTAGAGTGCATTTGGATGATCCAGAAGAGGATTGGGAGAATGTCATACGGTCAGATGAAACCAAAATATAACTTTTTGGTAAAAACTCAACTCGTCGTGTTTGGAGGACAAAGAATGCTGAGTTGCATCCAAAGAACACCATACCTACTGTGAAGCATGGGGGTGGAAACATCATGCTTTGGGGCTGTTTTTCTGCAAAGGGACCAGGACGACTGATCCGTGTAAAGGAAAGAATGAATGGGGCCATGTATCGTGAGATTTTGAGTGAAAACCTCCTTCCATCAGCAAGGGCATTGAAGATTAAACGTGGCTGGGTCTTTCAGCATGACAATGATCCCAAACACACCGCCCGGGCAACGAAGGAGTGGCTTCGTAAGAAGCATTTCAAGGTCCTGGAGTGGCCTAGCCAGTCTCCAGATCTCAACCCCATAGAAAATCTTTGGAGGGAGTTGAAAGTCCGTGTTGCCCAGCGACAGCCCCAAAACATCACTGCTCTAGAGGAGATCTGCATGGAGGAATGGGCCAAAATACCAGCAACAGTGTGTGAAAACCTTGTGAAGACTTACAGAAAACGTTTGACCTGTGTCATTGCCAACAAAGGGTATATAACAAAGTATTGACAAAACTTTTGTTATTGACCAAATACTTATTTTCCACCATAATTTGCAAATAAATTCATTAAAAATCCTACAATGTGATTTTCTGGATTTTTTTTTCTCATTTTGTCTGTCATAGTTGACGTGTACCTATGATGAAAATTACAGGCGTCTCTCATCTTTTTAAGTGGGAGAACTTGCACAATTGGTGGCTGACCAAATACTTTTTTCCCCCACTGTATGTCTCACAGACGATTTTAAGTAATGGTGAACATGTGTGGATATTATTTGTTTCTAACCCATGCACCTGATAATGAAAGGCTCTTCTAGAATATGTTCAGAAGTAACACATTCACAGTGCTTGCCTTTGTTTAGGGAAACCCCAAAAAGTGTGTGATCTGAGAAGTGACACTACATTAGTATATTACCCCTATGTATTATTGATGTGTGGATTGCTCACTAGCACTAATAGTAGGATTATAGTGACACATTTTCCTGTAATCCGCTCTCAATAGAATTGCATCCCTGAAACCATACTGAAGAGGTTGATTATGCATCTTGCTACCCAGTATTTCAATGTTGTTTGTATTGTTGCCTATTTTGACACCAGATTTAAATTTGGTATCCATTTGGGGCATGTTTTTTTTGATAACTGCAAGTTGCTAAATGATCATAGTATGGCTTCTTTTACAGCTGATATCAGCCAGCAACCTAGTATCATGTATATTATGGTACGGTATGTTTGAATACAGTTCCCCTTCCTGTCGGCCTCCGTAACACACCCACTGTTACCTCCCTGTGTCTTGGTACAGACGGGGTGGAGTCGGGGCGTCCGTGGGGGTCCGCTCCCTAGCCTCGATCCCCTCCCTGCCCCCAGCGGTGGCTGACTTTGTGAAGGGGGCGGTGGATGAGTGCAAGCCTGCCAATGTGCATGTGGTGACGGGGAGCGCAGAGGAGTCGGCTCACATCCTAGCTGGCTTGGAGAAAGACGGCATGGTGAAGAGGCTACCCAAGTATGAGAACTGGTGAGTGTTGCTGTGATCCCCTACATACTCTAACACCGCTCAACAGCAGGGGAACTGGTAGGAATCTGGCTCTGTATGTCACGAAGCAGGTTAAGTAAGCTAACGAGCTAAGGTAATGTAGAGCAGAATAGAATACATTAACTTCGATTTTCTGGTTAGTAAAGAATGCTTACGTTCAATATACATTATTGAGAGTACTAAGTCTGTCAAACTAAGTAATCTGGCTGACTCAGTTAGATTAATCTACAACAATATCTGTCTTTTGAGTCACTTTTTCCACTGTGGCCCTGGAGCTCATCAAAAGCCTATTATTCTCACTCTACCATAAAGAATGATAAGAGAATGAATAGTCTGTTTATGGCCTTTATCTCTGTGCAGCTGGCTGGCACGTACAGACCCCAAGGACGTGGCTCGGGTGGAGAGTAAGACTGTTATCGTCACCAAGAACCAGAGGGACACCATCCCTGTCCCTAATGGGGGGGCTAAGAGCCAGCTGGGCAGCTGGATGAGCGAGGGTGACTTCCAGAAGGCCAGACAGGACCGCTTCCCAGGCTGCATGGCAGGTACTGGACTGTACACAACATTCCTCTACTCCTGGCCTCTCTGGAGGTTTACCCCATCAGCGGTCTACAGTATATGAATTGTCTGTAATGGAGTGTCAGTCTTCAGTCAAATTGGGTTCATCCCTTTTTTTAAATGGCTATTTTTGCCTACCAGAAAACCGGGCCTAAACCTCCAAAATAACTAGCTATGTTGACAGTGGCAAGTGTCATAATCGACTATCAATGTTGAATCCAGTGTTATAGTGTCAAACTACTGAAGTCTAATTTTAACTAATTAGACCGTGAAAGGGCCAGAAGTCATTAAAAGATCAAATGGTCGAGTTCAGGATTAAAATGTAGGGTTAAATAATTATCTGAAAAGGGTCACATTTTATTGAGACACCAATTATTTTAATCAGCTAACTGAGACTTGTCTCTAATGGAAAATGATGTCTCATTCTTCCTCAGGTCGAACAATGTATGTGATCCCCTTTAGCATGGGCCCGGTGGGCTCTCCACTATCTAAGTTTGGTGTGCAGGTGACAGACTCGCCCTACGTGGTGGCGAGCATGGGCATCATGACGCGCATGGGTACCCCAGTCATGGACAAGCTGGCGCAGGGAGCAGAGTTTGTGCGCTGCCAGCACTCCCTCGGGCGACCCTTCCCACTGAAAGGTACCACTTCACAGAGGCCCTCTCTCTATCTACTGTTATGTATCACATCCCCTACATAACCATACACATCCAGCTTTATGCCATACATGACATTCAACCACCATGTTGCCTCACTTCATTTCATCTCTCTCCACTTACTCTCCTCTAATTCCATCCCCTGCTTCCATATTCATCCCTCCATCCCCATCTTCCTCCCATGGTCCCCACCTCCCCCACCCCAGCTCCCCTGGTCAACTCTTGGCCGTGTAACCCAGAGAAGGTGCTGATCTCCCACCTGCCAGACACCAGGCAGATCCTGTCGTTCGGCAGTGGCTACGGAGGCAACTCCCTGCTGGGGAAGAAGTGCTTCGCCCTGAGGATCGCCTCGCGCATCGCCAAGGACGAGGGCTGGCTGGCCGAACACATGCTGGTGAGAAAAGGGACCCGATAGGGGTGCACTGACATAACTGTATTCCCTTTTTAGGAGCAGTTCGTACAAAAATACTGTATCTTAGGCAGGAAGAGTAGACAGGATGCCCGTAGGACAAAAGGAATATCAGGAGATGGGTTGCCAGATTCAGGGTTGCCAGATTCAGATCCTAGAATTTGCGACACAGTCAGTGCCTCATACGGTAGCAGTGAGTAGTTAGTTAGTCCCTTGTGATGTTCCTACATTATGGGAGAAACTACTCAGTCAATGCAACACCCACCCTCTCTTTCTCCTTCGCTGTCTTTTCTGTCACTCCTCCCCAACCAGATCCTGGGCATCACCAATCCTCAGGGAGTGAAACGCTACGTGGCGGCAGCGTTTCCCAGTGCCTGTGGGAAAACTAACCTGGCCATGATGAAGCCTGCGCTGCCTGGCTGGACTGTGGAGTGTGTAGGAGACGACATCGCCTGGATGAAGTTCGACAGTCAGGGTGAGGGATACACACTCAACACACACTGGGACTTGAAGCTTTTGGGGAGTCAAGCCTGACTAGTAAAGGCTCAAACAGTAACATACTGGTAAAGACTCAAACAGTAACATACTGGTAAAGACTCAAACAGTAACATACTGGTAAAGGCTCAAACAGTAACATACTGGTAAAGGCTCAAACAGTAACATACTGGTAAAGACTCAAACAGTAACATACTGGTAAAGACTCAAACAGTAACATAATAGAGCTTTGAATTTACTGTCAGGCTATTCATTTCATGGTCAGACATTTTGTACAACCCATTAAAACTATAACCAGCAACTCCCTCCTGTTTTAGAGGTCATTGTGCTTCCTTCAGGAAACAAATCCATACATGCATCTCTGTCACTCACATTGTCCTTGTCACTTTGTTCGCAGGTAAACTCAGGGCCATCAACCCAGAGAATGGCTTTTTCGGCGTGGCTCCCGGCACGTCCCTGAAGACCAACCCTCATGCTATGGCGACCATCGCCAAAAACACTGTGTTCACCAACGTGGGCGAGACCAGCGACGGAGGGGTATGGTGGGAGGGACTGGACCCTCCTGCCGCAGGGGTCTCCCTGACCGACTGGCACGGCAAATCCTGGAAAGCAGGTAGCGTTGTCTCACTGTAGTGCAGGTTTCCAACCTGTGCTTGGTCCTGTGGTTGGTCCTGTGCTTGGTCCTGTGGTTGGTCCTGTGGTTGGTCCTGTGCTTGGTCCTGTGCTTGGTCCTGTGGTTGGTCCTGTGCTTGGTCCTGTGGTTGGTCCTGTGGTTGGTCCTGTGCTTGGTCCTGTGCTTGGTCCTGTGCTTGGTCCTGTGCTTGGTCCTGTGCTTGGTCCTGTGCTTGGTCCTGTGCTTGGTCCTGTGGTTGGTCCTGTGGTTGGTCCTGTGGTTGGTCCTGTGGTTGGTCCTGTGCTTGGTCCTGTGCTTGGTCCTGTGGTTGGTCCTGTGGTTGGTCCTGTGCTTGGTCCTGTGGTTGGTCCTGTGCTTGGTCCTGTGCTTGGTCCTGTGCTTGGTCCTGTGCTTGGTCCTGTGGTTGGTCCTGTGGTTGGTCCTGTGGTTGGTCCTGTGGTTGGTCCTGTGGTTGGTCCGCGGGGGTACTGCAGGTGGTCTAGGATATATATTTTATTTTTTATACAAATAAAATATTGATCTTTATTTGTAAATAACAGTTGGGAGTATTAATGGTATTATAAGCAATTTTACATTACTTTTCACAATGCAAATTGATAATAATAATAATAATAATAAGCCTTTTTAAGCAGGAATCTTTCATTTAAACAATGTTTTAGTAAAAACCTGAGTGATGAACCTGGAGAAATGTAACCGCTCTGAAATTCAAAGCGAGAGCTATGTATGCAAGGACTGACCATCAATTATATTACTCCTGAGTGGCGCAGTGGTCTAAGGCACTGCATCGCAGTGCTAACTGTGCCACTAGAGATCCTGGTTCGAATCCAGGCTCTGTCGCCGCCGGCCGTGACCGGGAGACTCATGGGCGGCGCACAATTGGCCCAGCGTCGTCCAGGGTAGGGGAGGGAATGGCCGGCAGGGATGTAGCTCAGTTGATAGAGCATGGCGTTTGCAACGCCAGGGTTGTGGGTTCGATTCCCACGGGGGGCCAGTATAAAAAAAATATGTATTCACTAACTGTAAGTCGCTCTGGATAAGAGCGTCTGCTAAATGACTAAAATGTAAAAATGTAAATGTAATATCAAAATGATAGTTTTAACCATGTGTTGAGGCTATACAGTGTTTGTTTACATTTACTTTGTTTCCAAACATTGGACAAGGTTATACTGTATTTTGGGTTCTGATACTCCCAGTCGGTATTAGATAGAATGTCGCGGCCCTGCCCCGCCTGTGAGGAAAACAACCTGTGGTTACCTAGGTTACCCCATTGGCTCGCAGCAAATACTTGACCTTTTTCAAATGTAGTTTTCTTGATATCTGCTTGTTTTTAGTCAATTACAAAAACGACTTTTAAGAGAAGTACAACATGTCTAAAGATGACTTTTCAACAGTGCCTGCTCCCGAGCATTCTCTCTACTTAGAAAAATGTAATATTGACTGTAGGGCTTCCCTCATGCCCCATTTCATCAAGGTGCTAGCAGCCTTGTGAGTGAGTGCTAGCTAGCTACCAACCAAATGGAACATTAAGCTAGCCAAGCCCAACAACACAAACAAACGGACTATACAGCTAGTGAGTGGAGTTACAAATAGACTAAAACAAGCTAAATGTCTTACCTGTGATGAAAAATACAGGAATGGAAGACCCAGAGTTACCTCTGCTGCAGAGGATAAGTTCATTAGAGTTACCAGCCTCAGAAATTGCAGCCCAAATAAATGCTTCACAGTAACAGACACATCTCAACATCAACTGTTCAGAGGAGGCTGCGTGAATCAGGCCTTCATGGTCGAATTGCTGCAAAGAAACCACTACTAAAGGACACCAATAAGAAGAAGAGACCTACTTGGGCCAAGAAACACGAGCAATGGACATTAGACCGGTGGAAATCTGTCCTTTTTGGTCTGATGAGTCAAAATTTGAGATTTTTGGTTCCAACTGCTGTGTCTTTGTGAGACGCAGAGTAGGTGAACGGATGATCTCCACATGTATGGTTCCCACCGTGAAGCATGGAGGAGGAGGTGTGATGATGTGGGGGTGCTTTGCTGGTGACACTGTCTGTGATTTATTTAGAATTCAGGGCACACTTAACCAGCATGGCAGCACAGTATTCTGCAGCGATACGCCATCCCATCTGGTTTGGGCTTAGTGGGACTATAATTTTTTTTTCAACAGGACAATGACCCAACACACCTCCAAGCTGTGTAACGGCTATTTTACCAAGAAGGAAAGTGATGGAGTGCTGCATCAGATGACCTGGCCGCCACAATCCCCCGACCTCAACCCAATTGAGATGGTTTGGGATGAGTTGGACCGCAGAGTGAAGGAAAAGCAGCCAATAGGAGCTCAGCATATGTGCTCAGCATATTTTGATTTGTTTAACACTTTTTTTGGTTGCTACATGGTTCCATTTGTGTTTTTTCATAGTTTTGATGTCTTCACTATTATTCTACAATGTAGAAAATAGTAAAAATAAAGAAAAACCGTTGAATGAGTAGGTGTGTCCAAACTTTTGACTGGTACTGTATATGATTACCATCAAATCAAAATGTTATAGAAATGTTAATGTCCAAATACTATTAAAGTCTAACAGTAATAATATGTTCTAATCAAATTCACCCTCTTTCTCTTCCTCACAGGAGACTCTGGCCCGTGTGCCCATCCCAACTCCAGGTTCTGTACTCCCGCGGTCCAGTGCCCCATCATCGACCCTCAGTGGGAGAGTGACGAGGGTGTGCCCATCGATGCAATCATCTTTGGGGGCAGGAGGCCAGAGGGTGAGTGCCCTCTACTGATCCAATTACTAAGATACTGGTTTAGTAACTAATCTAAGATTAACACTATATTTTCATTTTAGTCATGTAGCAGGCTAGCATCTAGTGTTGTAGGTAGTGTTATAAATTATACAGTTTGGTTAATGTAACTAGAACAATACAAATGATTCCCTATGACTGATTTGAAAATGTTCTGAAATTCTTGTCCAATGTGTCACTTTGGGACACTGTTACACTGTTGACCTGACCTCTGACCTCTATGTTTCCCAGGAGTCCCTCTTGTGTACGAGTCGTTTAATTGGCGTCACGGTGTGTTTGTGGGAGCCTCTATGAGGTCTGAGGCCACAGCAGCTGCTGAGTACAAAGGTACAGTACCTCATAAACCACATTAAAGAGCTTGTCATATAATTAAATTAGTTATAACATATTTACATTTTAGTAATTTAGCAGACGCTCTTATCCAGAGCGACTTACAGTTAGTGAGTGCATACATTTTTCATACTGGCCTCCCGTGGGAATCGAACCCACAACCCTGGCGTTGCAAGCGCCATGCTCTACCAACTGAGCTACAGGAGGGCCTAATTAAAGTAGATATGAGCTGTCTATAGAGTAGAATAGAACAGTAAAAACATCTCGAAAGTTAATATCACCTGATATGATGGCATACTGTTTTCCCTCATTCCTCTCCAGTGATAATGAATAAAACGATGACCTTTTGAATAAAATCTATTTTTTCTCTCCAGGCAAGGTCATAATGCATGACCCCTTCGCCATGCGCCCCTTCTTCGGCTACAACTTCGGGGACTACCTGGCCCACTGGCTGAGCATGGAGACCCGCAAGGGCCCCACCCACCTGCCCAAGATCTTCCATGTCAACTGGTTCCGCAAGGACCCCACGTCGGGCTCCTTCCTCTGGCCGGGCTTTGGCGACAACGCCCGCGTTCTGGAGTGGATCTTCAAGCGCTGCAGCCGCGAGAGGGAGGATGAGGCGGCCAGGAAGAGCATGGTGGGCTGGGTGCCACAGGAGGGAGCCATCAACCTGCAGGGTCTGGGCAGCAAGGTGGACATGGGTGCCCTCTTTGACCTGCCCAAGCCCTTCTGGGAGAAGGAGACCCAGGAGCTGAGGGCATACTTTACCCAGCAGGTGGGAGCCGACCTCCCCCAACAGGTGGAGGGAGAACTGAAGGCTCTGGAGGACAGGGTCAGGAATTGAGAGGTGGAGGGACCAGATGATTCAGAGAGAGAAGAGAGAAAGTATGGACTATTGGACACTACACTATGCTGATGCTGCAATATGGTGGGGATGGGGATATGGTGGGACTGACAGAAAAGGGACTAACAAGCTAATTGCAGTTTGGTGGAAACTGCTTTTCCTATATGTGGGTACATGTAAACCAACGTTTCTAAATTGTAAGAAAATACAATGATATGATGCGACTGCATCACTGACGAATGCAGTTCGGCCGCCACTCACTGTCAGTGGCTATATGAGTAGATATTAGGTGATATTAGCAGAATCAGTGTTTAGCAGTACCTTACTGACATCTTGCAATAAAGGCATTGGATGTTTACAAGCTATAGCCCAAAGAATCATATCTAATCATGACAAGCTTTAATATCCATATTAATTTCAACATTTCTTGCAGAATGTTACCTCAATATCCTTTTATTTGCTCACTAGTCCCTGGGATTACTGAATGGCCATTGGCTACGAACATGTGGAGGAAATACATCTGGTTGGCTCAAGGGGAAAGATTAATTAGCATTTTTTCTCACTTTTGTATTAATAAAAATGATTATAATCTAATGTTTACACACGAGATATGCAAACTGTTGGACCAATAAAACAGAGATTTAATGGAAATTGAACGTAAAGGTTTTTATTACAGTGCAATTAATAAACATCAAATTCAGCCTCAATTGTGTCTCTTGATCAACACTCAACATAAAAACTGACAACTCCCCAAAATATGTACATTTAAAATATATATGTAATGGAATATTTAAGATGAATAAAGTTCACATTCAGGTTAGAGTGATTAACATAATGTTTGCAATATTGATATAGTTTCCCTTTCTGTAACACATGATTTCCAGTATTCTGTTTCTAACACTCGGGATGATGGTCACTAGAATCAATGCTGTATGTTATGGATTAAACTCATAACTGTTGATAGTGCTCGACTCCAGACTGGAGGTCCAAGGACCGAGGACACACTGATTATTATTGTATTCTGTGAAACACTGATTCTGTAGTAGCTGACAAAGCCACTGCCTTTTCTTTTGACTTCCTACAAGCCTCTCAGGCTGGTGTTGACAGAACATTTGTTGGTCTGATTAGTATATACAGTGCCTTGTAAAAGTATTCATCCCCCTTTGCGTTTTTCCTATTTTGTTGCATTACAACCTGTAATTTAAATGGGTTTTTATTTGGATTTCATGTAATGGACATACACAAAATAGTCCAAATTGGTGAAGTGAAATGAAAGAAATAACTTGTTTCAAAAAATTCTAAAAAATAAGTAATGGAAAAGTGGTGCGTGCATATGTATTCAACCCCTTTGCTATGAAGACCCTAAATAAGATCTGGTGCAACCAATTACCTTCAGAAGTCACATAATTAGTTAGATTGCACACAGGTGGACTTTATTTAAGTGTCACATGATCTCAGTATATATACACCTGTTCTGAAAGGCCCCAGAGGCTGCAACCACTAAGCAAGCGGCACCATGAAGACCAAGGAGCTCTCCAAACAGGTCAGGGACAAAGTTGTGGAGAAGTACAGATCAGGGTTGGGTTATAAAAAAAATATCAGAAACTTTGAAAATCCCACGAAGCACCATTAAATCCATTATAAGAAAATGGAAAGAATATGGCACCACAACAAACCTGCCAAGAGAGGGCTGCCCACCAAAACTCACGGACCAGGCAAGGAGGGCATTAATCAGAGAGTCAACAAAGAGACCAAAGATAACCCTGAAGGAGCAGCAAAGCTCCACAGCGGAGATTGGAGTATCTGTCCATAGGACCACTTTAAGCCGTACACTCCACAGAGCTGGGCTTTACGGAAGAGTGGCCAGAAAAAAGCCATTGCTTAAAGAAAAAAATAAGCAAACACGTTTGGTGTTCGCCAAAAGCCATGTGGGAGACCCCCCAAACATATGGAAGAAGGTACTCTGGTCAGATGAGACTAAAATTGAGCTTTTTGGCCATCAAGGAAAACGCTTTGTCTGGCGCAAACCCAACACCTCTCATCACCCCGAGAACACCATCCCCACAGTGAAGTATGGTGGTGGCAGCATCATGCTGTCTCCTGAGTGGCGCAGTGGTCTAAGGCACTGCATCGCAGTGCTAACTGTGCCACTAGAGATCCTGGTTCGAATCCAGGCTCTGTCGCAGCCGGCCGTGACCGGGAGACTCATGGGCGGCGCACAATTGGCCTAGCGTCGTCCAGGGTAGGGGAGGGAATGGCCGGCAGGGATGTAGCTCAGTTGGTAGAGCATGGCGTTTGCAACGCCAGGGTTGTAGGTTCGATTCCCACGGGGGGCCAGTATAAAAAAATATGTATTCACTAACTGTAAGTCGCTCTGGATAAGAGCGTCTGCTAAAAAATGACAAAAAAAAAATAAAAAAATGCTGTGGGGATGTTTTTCATCGGCAGGGACTGGGAAACTGGTCAGAATATAAGGAATGATGGATGGCGCTAAATACAGGGAAATTCTTGAGGGAAACCTGTTTCAGTCTTCCAGAGATTTGAGACTGGGACGGAGGTTCACCTTCCAGCAGGACAATGACCCTAAGCATACTGCTAAAGCAACACTTGAGTGGTTTAAGGGGAAACATTGAAATGTATTGGAATGGCATACTCAAAGCCCAGACCTCAATCCAATTGAGAATCTGTGGTATGACTTAAAGATTGCTGTACACCAGCGGAACCCATCCAACTTGAAGGAGCTGGAGCAGTTTTGCCTTGATGAATGAGCAAAAATCCCAGTGGCTAGATGTGCCAAGCTTATAGAGACAAACCCCAAGAGACTTGCAGCTGTAATTGCTGCCAAAGGTGGCTCTACAAAGTATTGACTTTGGGGCGGGGGGAATAGTTACGCACGCTCAAGTTTTCTGTTTTCTTGTCTTATTTTTTGTTTGTTTTTCAAGAAAAAATATTTTGCATCTTCAAAGTGGTAGGCATGTTGTGTAAATCAAATGATACAACCCCCCCAAAAATCGATTTTAATTCCAGGTTGTAAGGCAACAAAATAGGAAAAATGCTAAGGGGGTTGAATACTTTATCAGTTAGACATTTTCTCTGCTTCTATGCTGGATGTTGTCTCCCTGTTGCAACTTGTATTAATCCAGATTGATTTATGATTGACTTTATCTGCGACTGCTCTTTTTTGTTCACCTGGTAATTCCTATTACAGATAATATTGTTATTCTGGTAACTGCACAAAAGATGCAGAGAAACAGTGACTAGTAGATGTTAACACCATTCTGCTGTCATGTTGACTTACTTCACCAACTTCCTGTCTTGTATCAGCCAAATAATTGTGTCATATATCCTCTGTCATCATTGACTTTATATGGCCTTAAACTACATTTGAACTATCAGGTGGCACGGCACTTTTAAACAGTTAAACAATTTGCATACAAGAAAATTCTACAAATATGCAGACAATTGAGGTTCACAAACTTATGAATACGAAATCAAAAATAACAATAGACAGCAAATTAACAATACATACTGTATATATCCAAAATACTTAAAATGCACCTCTTTTATTCACTTGTGCATAAAGCCCATCTATGTCGTTAAGGTGTGGTTCCTGGGGCCCTCTCCTGGTCACATTGACTTCAGCGTACTCACTCTCCTGCCCCTGGACCCTGTTCCTGTCCTGGGCTGCAGCTGGGGTCTCTTTGGGCCGTAGTTTGGAGAAGTCTATGTCACCATAGTGGATCTCTTCAGGCTGGTCTTCTGCAGGTTCCTCTGGTTTCTCTCTGGCTGTGGTCTGGTTAACACACACCGTCCCAACCGGGGAGTTCTGTGGAGAGAACACAGAGAGAGGAACAGGTGTAAAGTTCTAAGCTCAGTCATTTGTAAAACTCTAAAGTCAGCAGGTTACACAACACATACTGAGGGGATGTCAATGACAATGTCAATTAAACTGACAGAAGAAAATAATTACATTTTGACAACAAATGAGCTCCAATCTAAAGGATACTGTCAAAGTCCAACAGCTATTCTGTTTTCATTCAATGTTCTCACAAGACGTAGCATTGCTATCAGTGTGTTCATCTCCCCCTAAACTTCCTCTAAAATGATGTTAACTTCATGGCTTTGGATAGTTTCATCATTAATTCAGTACTTCCTTAGATACACTTTGTAGATGGTTTTTGAAAGTTGAACCTTATTCCCACCTGTCCCTGTGGATTGTCCATCCTTTCAAGTCCATCGGGGAGCCTAGAGTTTCTCCTCCTGGAAGACATTTAGAAAGGTATTCTGAATGCACTGAGATGGTTTTCATATGCAAAAACACAAACACAACATAAATAAATAGTTTTGCATTGATGCCAGGAATAGTTTTTACCATCCATAAAGACTGATCAGGCTGATAAGCAGAAAGGCCCCCAGAGTTCCTGCTGCAATCCCAAACACCATTGGGTTAACAGGCTCTTCTTGCCCTGAAAATACAGCACATATTATGGTCATTTCTCACAAATAGATCTCTAAAGTACACTACATGAACAAAGGTATGTGGACACCTGCTCGTCAAACATCTCATTCCAAAATCATGGGCATTAATATGGAATATAGAATGTCATTGTATGCTGTAGCGTTAAGATTTCCCTTCACTGGAACTAAGGGTTCTAGCCAGAACCATGAAAAACAGCTCCAGACCATTTGTCCTCCTCCACCAAACTTTACAGTTTGCACTATGCATTGGGGAAGGTAGCATTCTCCTGGCATCCACCTAACCCAGATTTGTCCGTTGGACTGCCAGATGGTGAAGCGGGATTCATCACTCCAGAGAACGGGTTTCCACTTCTCCAGAGTCCAATGGCAGCGAGCTTTACACCATTCCAGACGATTCTTGGCATTGCACATGTTGATCTTAGGCTTGTGTGCGGCTGCTCGACCATGGAAACCAATTTCGTGAAGCTCCCGACGAACAGTTCTTGTTGCTTCCAGAGGCAGAAGCATTGTTTTTACATTTAAGTGCTAAGAACATTGTCATTTTCTAATGAACCTTCTGCTCTTGCACAATTTGTTTCAGTCACTTGAAACATTGCAGAGGTTGCCTTAGCCATGTTCCACCAGTTTCAAATGAAATGGGCCCTAGCTGCACACTGACTGATTCTCAACACAAAGTGAGTGTTAGCCACTGATTCAACAGCTTTATATGGCCTATATATTTCATTACGCCAGGAATGAAACTGTTATACAAAATAGGTTGTTAATTGTGGGATAATCATAATAAAAGCAGTTTATTTGGGGTGGGGGGTTAAATGTCCCTTTTTAGGGTTAGGAAAGTCAACAGCATTTTGAAACAGGCCCCCAAATTGCTAAATCCGCCCCTGAGACATCTATAAATATATTAAAGGAAACTTTAGGTAATATAACCATCTCCCTCTCCCCTGTCTCCCAGGCTTCAATGGAAATATTTGTGGGATTTGTTGTTGATCCATCCTCAGCCATTAAACTTTGTAACTGTTTTAAAGTCACCAATGGCCTTATGGTGAAATCAGTGGAGGCTGCTGAGGGGAGGACAGCTCATAATAATGGCTGGAACGGACAAAATGGAATAGCATGAAACACATGGAAACCATGTGTTTCATGGATTTGATACCATTCCACCTATTCCACTCCAGCCAATACCACGAGCCCATTCTCCCCAATGAAGGTGCCACCAACCTCCTGTGGGTGAAATCCCTGAGCGGTTTCTTTCCTCTTCGGCAACTGAGTTAGGAGGATGCCTGTATCTTTGTAGTGAATCTGTGTATTGATAAAACATCCAAATTGTAATTAATAACTTCACCATGCTCAAAGGGATACACCCATCTTCCAATAGGTGCCCTTCTTTGTGAGGCATTGGAAAAGCTCCCTGGTCTTCGTGGTTGAATCTGTTTGAAATTCGCTGCTCGACTGAGGGACATTACATATTATTGTATGTGTGGGGTAGTCATTCAAAAATCATGTTAAACTCTAGTATTGCACACAGAGTGAATCAATGTAACTTATGTGACTTGTTATGCAAATCTTTACTCCTGAACTTATTTAGGCTTGCCATAAGAAAGGGGTTGAATACATATTGACTCGAGACAGTTCAGCTTTTCATTTCCCAGTGAGGGAAAAAAGTATTTGATCCCCTGCTGGTTTTGTACGTTTGCCCACTGACAAAGAAATGATCAGTCTATAATTTTAATGGTAGGTTTATTTGAACAGTGAGAGACAGAATAACAACAAAAAAACGCATGTCAAAAATGTTATAAATTGATTTGCATTTTAATGAGGGAAATAAGTATTTGACCCCTCTGCAAAACATGACTTAGTACATGGTGGCAAAACCCTTGTTGGCAACCACAGAGGTCAGACGTTTCTTGTTGTTGGCCACCAGGTTTGCACACATCTCAGGAGGAACCTTCAGCTCCCTCCACAGATTTTCTATGGGATTAAGGTCTGGAGACTGGCTAGGCCACTCCAGGACCTTAATGTGCTTCTTCTTGAGCCACTCCTTTGTTGCCTTGGCCGTGTGTTTTGGGTCATTGTCATGCTGGAATACCCATCCACAACCCATTTTCAATGCCCTGGCTGAGGGAAGGAGGTTCTCACCCAAGATTTGACGGTACATGGCCCCGTCCATCGTCCCTTTGATGCGGTAAAGTTGTCCTATCCCCTTAGCAGAAAAACACCCCCAAAGCATAATGTTTCCACCTCCATGTTTGACGGTGGGGATGTTGTTCTTGGGGTCATAGGCAGCATTCCTCCTCCTCCAAACACGGCGAGTTGAGTTGATGCCATAGAGCTCTATTTTGGTCTCATCTTACCACAACACTTTCACCCAGTTCTCCTCTGAATCATTCAGATGTTCATTGGCAAACTTCAGATGGGCATGTATATGTGCTTTCTTGAGCAGGGGGACCTTGCGGGCGCTGCAGAATTTCAGTCCTTCATGGCGTAGTGTGTTACCAATTGTTTTCTTGGTGACTATGTTAGGCCTACTGCTGCTAGGTAGCTCTCTCTCTGCTCTCCCCCTCCCCTCTGTATGTCCTTGATTGCAGGAGTGAAGTCTGGTGTGCGGGAGTCAGGGTTCCAGCTGCAGCTCATTAACCATAATCACCTCAGCCTTAAAGACCCGGTCAAACTTCAAATCAAATCAAATCAAATCAAATCAAATGTTATTGGTCAATGCGCCGAATACAACAGGTGCAGACATTACAGTGAAATGCTTACTTACAGCCCTTAACCAACAGTGCATTTATTTTAAACAAAAAAAGTAAAAATAAAACAACAACAAAAAAAGTGTTGAGAAAAAAAAGAGCAGAAGTAAAATAAAGTGACAGTAGGGAGGCTATATATACAGGGGGGTACCGTTGCAGAGTCAATGTGCGGGGGCACCGGCTAGTTGAGGTAGTTGAGGTAATATGTACATGTGGGTAGAGTTAAAGTGACTATGCATAAATACTTAACAGAGAAGCAGCAGCGTAAAAAGGATGGGGTGGGGGGGCAGTGCAAATAGTCCGGGTAGCCATGATTAGCTGTTCAGGAGTCTTATGGCTTGGGGGTAGAAGCTGTTGAGAAGTCTTTTGGACCTAGACTTGGCACTCCGGTACCGCTTGCCGTGCGGTAGCAGAGAGAACAGTCTATGACTAGGGTGGCTGGAGTCTTTGACAATTTTGAGGGCCTTCCTCTGACACCGCCTGGTATAGAGGTCCTGGATGGCAGGAAGCTTTGCCCCAGTGATGTACTGGGCCGTACGCACTACCCTCTGTAGTGCCTTGCGGTCGGAGGCCAAGCAGTTGCCATACCAGGCGGTGATGCAACCAGTCAGGATGCTCTCGATGGTGCAGCTGTAGAATTTTTTGAGGATCTGAGGACCCATGCCAAATCTTTTTAGTCTCCTGAGGGGGAATAGGCTTTGTCGTGCCCTCTTCACAACTGTCTTGGTGTGTTTGGACCATGATGGTTCGTTGGTGATGTGGACACCAAGGAACTTGAAGCTCTCAACCTGTTCCACTACAGCCCCGTCGATGAGAATGGGGGCGTGCTCAGTCCTCTTTTTTTTCCTGTAGTCCACAATCATCTCCTTTGTCTTGGTCACGTTGAGGGAGAGGTTGTTGTCCTGGCACCACACGGCCAGATCTCTGACCTCCTCCCTATAGGCTGTCTCATCGTTGTCGGTGATCAGGCCTACCACTGTTGTGTCGTCGGCAAACTTAATGATGGTGTTGGAGTCGTGCCTGGCCATGCAGTCATGGGTGAACAGAGAGTACAGGAGGGGACTGAGCACGCACCCCTGAGGGGCCCCCGTGTTGAGGATCAGTGTGGCAGATGTGTTGTTACCTACCCTTACCACCTGGGGGCAGCCCGTCAGGAAGTCCAGGATCCAGTTGCAGAGGGAGGTGTTTAGTCCCAGGATCCTTAGCTTAGTGATGAGCTTAGAGGGCACTATGGTGTTGAATGCTGAGCTGTAGTCAATGAATAGCATTCTCACGTAGGTGTTCCTCTTGTCCAGGTGGGAAAGGGCAGTGTGGAGTGCGATAGAGATTGCATCATCTGTGGATCTGTTGGGGCGGTATGCAAATTGGAGTGGGTCTAGGGTTTCTGGGATAATGCTGTTGATGTGAGCCATGACCAGCCTTTCAAAGCACTTCATGGCTACAGACGTCAGTGCTACGGGTCGGTAGTCATTTAGGCAGGTTATCT